GGCTCCCTACTGGACAGGAAGCCTGCTTCTCCCTCTCCCACTCCCCCTGCTTGTGTCCCCTCTCTCGCTGTGTCTCTCTCTGTCAAATAAATAAATAAAATCTAAAAAAAAAAAAAAAAAAAAAAGAACAGGAGTCCCTGAAACTCCTGCACTCTCCCAAAGATCCACTTGCCTCAGTGACTCCATGGTCTCACCCATGTCCCAGGAACTTTGAGGATATTGACGACCTGCTGCTACTCACAGCTTTAATAAAAGCTAGCTGCTGGCCATATCACTAGTCTTGGCCTAGTGAGCTGAGAAAAGCTAAAGGAAAGGAAAGCTAAAAGCTGAAGAGGAATCCCATAAAGTAGAAGAGAAGCACTACTATGGTGGCCAGCACACCACTGAAACTTACTTAATTGTTGGAACAGCAGAGGGATAGGATGGATGTGGGGATGAGGAAAGCTGAGCACCCTCCCTCACTGTTCCTGGATCCCATCACATCCTTGCAAAAGTCTTAACGTGGTCCACAAGACCCTTCATGACCTGGGCCCTGCCCTGCCTCTCTACTCTCCCCTCATACTACTCTCCCCTTGATTGTCTAATCCTTGTGGAATGGGCTTCTTTCAGTATCATGAGTGCTTCAAGCTCTACCCAACATTAGGACTATTCTTGATCTGGAATATGGCCCTCTGCCTCCCCCCACACACCCACCCACACACACACTCACACCCACTCTGCCTGGCTAACTTCTTCTCATCTTTTAGTTCTCAGCTTCAGTGTTACTTTCTCAGAAGATCTTGAGTCTCCAGTCTAAAATTAGGTTTCTCTTTTCTCACTTTCTTCACAGTACTTGTAACTTATGTTACTTTTATCTGCCCACCATTCCTTCCTTTGGGGAATCACTGTTTTAAAGAGTTGTGGTGGCACTATAGGTTATCATACCCGCCTCCCCCCGCCACTGGGACAGGCATGTGACTCACAGGTGGCCAATCACAGTCTTCCCTGACATTGATATATGGCGGCTGGGACACAGAAGGCCTTTTTTTGCAGGAGTTGGGAAGATAATCTGGAGCTGCCATCATCCATCTTACTCCTCATAGAGTTTGGAGAAGGAAGGAGGCTGAAGGGATCAGCAAAGTTGAGAAATGGAACGTGCAATTGAATCCTAGGTCTAGTGGACTTTCCAGCTATAAGAGCTAATAAATTCTATTTTAAAAACAGTATTTTAAATCTATTTTAACCTATTTTAAATCTATTTTAAAAACATATTTGGAATTCTATCACTTGCCATAACAGGAGTCCTACCTCATGCAGAACTTATCACAATTTCTAACAGTTTTATTGAGATAATCCACACACCATTCAGTTTGTCTATTTAAAACATGTTAAATTATATATTTGTATAATTATTTGTTTATTATCCCTTTTCCATTAGTTCCCTGATAATAAATACAATAGCTGTTCTGTTCACTATTATAACCCAAGTACCAGGACAGAGCCCAGCTTAGACTAAGTGCTCAATGAATAAGTGAATAAATGGATGAATGAATGAATGAATGAATATCTAACCTATTCTGGGTACTTAGGATAATGAACCAAATGAGACATAACCTTGTTGCTCTTGAGGTCTAGCAAGAGAGACATGTGTCTAAATAGTCAAATACTAGTAAGCAACAGAGGAAAGCTTAGGAAATTGTGTAGGACAGACATGGTTTACTACGACCTGCCCAAATCTGACCTATTGATTAAGGCCTTCTTTAAGTGCCTCCCTAAACTCAAGAATTAATCTGACTTCATCTATGTTCCTACATAAATTTGATAGATCTAAACTGACTCCACTACTTATTAACTGCATAAACTTGAGAAAATTATTTAAGCCCTCTGAACTTCATTTTTCAGAGTATTGGACATACCCTACAGTACCTACTTGGAAGGGTTATAGTGAGAATTAAGTGAAATAATTAATACACAACATCTCATAGAATGCCTGGATCAATGTCACCTACTATCATAGTTATTATACAGTGAGGTTAAGTGGTTAGGAGCACAGGCCTTGGAGCCAGACTTCTGCTTGGGTTCAAATTCTGACTCTACCTGTTAGTAGCTGTGTGACCTTAAGCAAGTTACTCAATTTCTCTGTGCCTCAGTTTTCTCATCTGTTTAAAAAAAAACAATTTAGAGATAAGAGAAGTATGTATTTCAGAGGGCTCTAGTGGAATTAAATTAAATGAGTAATACTTTAAAACACTTAGAATAGTGCCTGGCACAAGGTAAGCACCTAATAAATATTTAACCAACTCACTTGTTAAAAATCTTAGTCATGAGCGCTTGGCATGCCAATTATATTTTTTTCCAAATATAAAACTAACTCACCTTTTAGAACTTAGTCTTGTTTAGTTCTAAGGATGACATGCTGATTACATATCCTTGTTTCTAATACATCAAAGTATATACATAAAATCAGCTTGCATCCTTCCAATGGCATAAGTCTCTTTGGGAAAGGCTACTCTCGATTCACACTGTCAATGATTTACAGTTCCCTGAACACACAGTGCTGGTCCTTGCCTTTACCAGTTTATTCCCCTGAAATATCCTTGCTTCTTCTCCTCCTTACTTGGCTGCTCCTTTTGTCTTCAAGATTCAGCTTGGGCATCACGTTCTCTGGTCCCCCTGAGTCAGGTGTCTCCTCTGTGCTCCCCCACAACCCACAGCACATCCCTCTATCACAACACCAATCACATGGGGTATCACTGTTTCTGTCCTTCAGACAGGGGAGTGTGTGTCCTATTCCACTACACAGGACCTGGCATACAGTAGGCACTCAGAAAGTCTTAACTGGATTGAAATAAAATGAAGTAGCCAAATACTTAACATAATAAAGTTTAATCAAAACATATTTTTGCAGTGTCTACTCAGTGCCAGGTCATCAAAGTAGGCACTGTTGGCACAAAAATAAACTAGACTCATTTCCTGTCTTCATGGAACTTTAGGGGAGATGGACAAGTAAACAAGTGCACCCAAGTGTGATAAGGACTGTGTCTGCTGTGTGGGAGGCAGGGGCACGAAGGAAAGAGCTCTGGGGGCCAGGAGAGGCTTCACAGAAATGTGAAGCTTGAGCTGTTTTGAAAAGTGAGTGGAGGTTTAGTTTACCAGCTAGATGAGGGTACAGGATGGGAAGTAGAAGAGAGAACTCTAAACAGATGGGGTGTAGCCACTCCAGGGAAAAGTACTGGGAGTCTCCCTGGGGACAGCAGGTTGAAGGCCCAGGGTCACCCAAATGTTTGGTTCACTGTTTGAACCAGGGGGACAGGCACAGGCACTTTCTGGATGCTGTGAACTTCTGTGATGGGGTAAGAACAGCAAGATCCCAGATAACCCAACCTCCCTCTTTATTAAACACCTACAGTTTGCTGATTTCTATTCCAGGCCACCCTGGGGAGCAGGGGAGGGAAGAAAGACGTATAAGACACTCTCCCACGCATGTACTCATAATAAGTGTGATACAAATACATACCACACACAACTCACATTTGTATATTATACAGTTTGCCCACCTACAAGCCCAAGTATCTATACGTCAGAGACCATCAGAGAAAACAACTTTAAACTCCCTACTCCTCAACATTTATAACACCTAAGTTATAAGACATACTTAGGGAGACTGGCTAAAACTTAAGCAATAGAGCCTTTCTTTCAGGGGAAGTTTTCTCCGAGGTGACCCTACACTGAATCCCAGTATAGAAAAAAAAGAAAACAAAACAAAACAAAATGAAACAAAACAGGGAAGCCTGGGTGGCTCCGTCGGCTAAACATTTGCCTTGGGCTCAGGTCATGATCCCATGGACCTGGGATCGAGTTCCGCATCGGGCTCCTTCCTAAGTGGGGAGCCCGCTTCTCCCTCTGCTGGCTGTTCCCCCTGCTTGTGCAGTCTCTTTCTCTCTCTGGCAAGGCAAAGCAAGGCGCTGCTCTTTGAAGCAAGTATTGGTAGGAGTTCTGCTGTCAGGCCACCAAGACACATCTGAGACACCTGGGTCTCAGGGAAGCACAGAGATAAAGGTGCTTGAACCTTGGAAAATGCCAGAGCATCACTGAGCTGTGCCCTTAAACCACATTGTTTCATCCCTTCATAGAATTATTTTTGTTGTGAATTATGTTTTGGTAAAGAAACCTCAGTTTACATTGAGAGGAATTCTAAGATGTAATGTTGTGATTGTAATAAGGACGTTTGATATTAAGGACATGGTCACATCCAGCATATAGAGCCTGCTCTACAGCTGCCAATGAAAAGAAGTGCTTCTCAGAAAAAATGGGTTTGTTTTTATTTTAAAGACCATCTCAAGACTGTGTACTTGATTATGTTTCTTGCCTTACATGGCTGGTAGGAAGCTCAAAGCCAATATTTCGGCCCAACTCTCACGCATGTCAGAGAACTTAAAACATACACATTTATCTCACCCCTGTCTTCCTCTTTTTTTCTCCTACCTTTGTTTTCCCTTTACTCCAATTTTCTTATTTCTTTATTTATATACTATGATGATTCTTATAAGACACCTCAAAGCCTTTGTGGAAAGAACTGGTGAATAAAAGAGTTCATAAATTTAAATTTTGGGGTGAATGGGTGGCTCAGTGGGTTAAGCCTCTGCTTTTGGCTCAGGTCATGATCTCAGGGTCCTGGGATCAAGCCCCGCATCAGGCTCTCTGCTCAGCCAGGAGCCTGCTTCCTCCTCTCTCTCTGCTCTGCTACTTGTGATCTCTCTGTCAAATAAATAAATAAATAAATAAAATGTTTTTAAAAAATTTAACTTTTACTTAGTAATTCAGTATAATAAAATATACACATCATAAATAACAAATTACCTAAAACTCACTAGCACAAAGCTTACATGCACATTGCACAAACATAAAACAATATACACAGAGCACACATGCACATAATTCACAATCACAACATACCCTTCATGTTACATTCCCATGTAAACATGCACAAATACACACATACACACATGTTGTGCCCATACCAAGCTGCTCGGCAAGGAGCCGGCCCTTCTCAGTGGGAACAACCCTCTCTTCCTCCATGTCACACTTGTTCCCAACCAGGATAACCTGTGCATTGTCCCAGGAGTAGGTCTTGATCTGAGTAGCCCTAAAAAGAGACAGAGAGAGGACAGTGTTAATGACATTCTGTTATGCTAGCAAGGACCCTGCAAAACTCGAAGACATGGTTTCCCTTCTGGGGCTAGCTACACCCAAGTTGTGTCAATGAACTCAGCTGAGGACAGATGGACACCTGCCCCAGCTCTGCCTACAAACCTCAACCCAGATCCTAGAAGCCTTCCTCTAATACATCTGTCCATCCCTCTCCTCACTGGGCAGAGAGCTCTTTTTGAAACACCTATCTTTTTTTTTTTAATTTTATTTATTTATTTGTCAGAGATAGAAAGAGAGAGAGCATAAGCAGGGGGAGTGGCAGAGGGAGAAGCAGGCTTCCCACTGAGCAAGGAGCCTGATGTGGGACTTGATCTCAAGACCCTGGGATCATAACCTGAGTCGAAGGCAAATGCTTAACTGACTGAGCCCCCCAGGCATCCCTAAAACATCTGTCTGACCACGATAAGTCCTTTCTGAAAAGGACTCTCCTATGGACCCCTGACTAGCTGTGTGATGAAGTCTAGAACCCTCAGGTGTTGAAGACCATTCACATCCTGTCTCTCTAGCTTCATCCCACTTCCTCCCACTTCTCACTATCCCGAAATGCTCTTCCATGGCTTGTGCCTTTGCCTATCCTGGGAGTCCCTTCCCCACACTAACTCATCACCCAGGGCCCAGGGCTAGTCGCATAATTCCTTGGGGGAAGCCTTCCCAGGCCTTCTCAGGCCCAGCTAGCCTCTCCCTGCTCCTCTGTGACTTACAAACATTCACTGAGGCCTCAGATGGTGATTCTTTGTGGAAACCAAAACGTCAGCAGTGTTTTCCTTCACATAGGATGGTTATGAAACTTTTTTAAATGTTTTTCTGGGGGCTCCTGGGTGTCTCAGTCATTAAGCAACTGCCTTTAGCTCAGGTCATGATCCCAGGGTCCTAGGATCAAGCCCCAAGTTGGGCTCCCTGCTCAGCATGAAGCCTGCTTCTCCCTCTCCCACTCCCCCTGCTTGTGTTCCCTCTCTCACTGTGTCTCTCTCTATCAAATAAATAAAATGTTTAAAACAACAACAACAACAAACTTTTCTGTAGGGGCGCCTGGGTAGCTCAGTTGGTTAGGCAACTGACTCTAGATTTTGGCTCAGGTCATGATCTCCGGTCATGGGATTGAGCCTAGAGTCAGACTCCAGCTCAGTGCAGAGTCTGCTTGTCTCTCTCCCTCTGCTCCTCGCCCTCCCTGTTCGCTTGCTCTCTCTCTCTTAAATAAATAAAATCTTTACAAAACATTTTTCTGTATTTTTCAAATTTTTGAAAATGAGCATATGCTACTTATGAGAAACAAAATTTTATTTATTTATTTTTTTTAAAGATTTTATTTATTTATTTGTCAGAGAGAGAGAGGGAGAGAGAGCGAGCACAGGCAGACAGAATGGCAGGCAGAGGCAGAGGGAGAAGCAGGCTCCCTGATGAGCAAGGAGCCCGATGCGGGACTCGATCCCAGGACGCTGGGATCATGACCTGAGCCGAAGGCAGCTGCTTAACCAACTGAGCCACCCAGGCGTCCCACAAAATTTTAATATAATGAATAAAATAGGAACCTTATATCGTGGATACATCTATTTGTGGGGACAGGACTCTGTCTCTAATTACCCTATCAAATAGAAATGATTACTTATCCTTTTGGTCCCCTGCACCTTTACCATGGCACCTGTTACATTTGGCTGGATTTATAAGCTCCCTCCTTGAAGGCAAGGAGAGTCTCATTCATCTCAGGAATGCCAGTCCTCAGCACAGAGCAGAGAAGGTGTCAGCCAAGTGTCTGATGAATGGATAAGCCAGCTAATAGTTAATCCCGAAGCAGTCTTAAATGTGGCCCTATCCTGACACTGACACTCACTCTAACTCAACCCTAACTGAAACATGGACCTATTAATGACTCTGCTCCTAAAGCTGATCCCTCACTAATCCTCTCTTTCTTTAGGGGTGAGAAGCCATTCCTTCAAGGTACAGAATTCACTCAGCCACATTTGTTGTGGGCTGACAAAGCACCAGATTCTGTGCTGAGCACTGGGGCTTAGATGGCTAGTCTAGGGCCACGTTGCTAGGAGCAAAACTGAAAGGCCAGAGCTTGGGAGAAAGAGACACTCAATCTTCAGCCTCAAGGCAGATAACTGGAGCCAAGTCTCCATGTCTCCCCAAACTACTCTTCCTATCCTCTTCCTCCCTCCTCCCACCCCCTTCACTCCCAACTCCCAGATTAGCAACTCAGGTTATTCTTGGAGGAATCATCACCAGGTTTAAAATCACTGTGTTCCTGAGACAGAAGGAACAGGGACTGATGGTGAACGGGAAGAAGGTCAAGGCTGACAGGGAATGAGCAGCGTGGAGACACTTAAAGAAAGAGCTCATCCATGATAGGAGATGAGGGGAAAGATGGAGAAGGAGGGAAAGAGGAGGAGGGGAGACAGATCATGACTGAAGAGAGGAGAGGGGATAAAAAGGGGGTAAAGGAAAAGGGAAGAGAAAAAAGGAGTAAAGAGAAAAGAGAGGAAGGAAAGGAGAAAAAGAAGATAGGGGGTACTTGTTAGAAGGGAAGAGAGAGAAAGGAGGAAGGGGAAGGTGACCACTAGGCTGAGAAGGAGAACGCAGATCACTGTGAATGACAGACATGTGGACTGCACCCTGGACAGTCGGCAAAGCCACTCTCAGCTCAAGGCTGCAACGCACCAACAGTACTTCACAGATCATGGCAACTGTTTTGTCAGAGAAGGGAAGTCCTCAAAGGGAAGCTATTATGCTAAGAGGAGCAGGAGATAAGCATGGCCCTGGCCAGCACTGCTGCTGTATGCCTGGCCTGTTCAGCTCTCTGATTCTGAAGAAGACCCACGGCACAGATGTTCTACCTCCTCCCATCCTCATCCTTTCCACTGGGCAAGGCTCCTGGCCCTCCCTCTTACCAATCCTTTCCTTCAGCTCCCTTCTCCCTGTGAGTTATGCTCCAGGAAGGAATTTGTAAATTACTCAGAGGTTGTACCTCTGGAGCTGCTAATTTCCATGGTATACTGAATCTTTAAAACTTGGACTGGATGTACTCTTGACCCCCAGCTGAGGGATAAATTTTATGGGGAAGTCATATGTGGATTCATTCACTACTGTGACCAGAATGATTTTCCCAAAACATTAATCTGAACCTGCTGATTCCCTATTCAAATGTTATCAGCTAGGAGATAAACTCCAAACTCCTTACCCCAGCACTCAAAATTCTTCAGGACCTCTGGTCTTCCTATACCCCTCACTTACCTCTGGTCTTTGCACATCTGCATTCTTTTCCTGAAATGTTCTTATCTACTCACCCCCTGGCTAAGTCCTGCTCATCTTACAAAATGTATCATCTGAGTCAACAACTCTAGAATGTCTTCCCTGCTCCCCAAGCTGGGTCAAAGCCCTCTACTGGGTTCCCACAGCCCTGGTGCGTGTCTCCATTACTGCATATCATGATATTCTCACTGCTTGCTTGCTGCTCTGTCCTCTCCTCTCATCTACATGCTCCTTGAGACCAGGAGCCATGTCTGATTCTTCTAGATTTCCCTAGCACATAACACAAGGCCTAGCACACATTAGATTTTTCTAGACAGTTTGATGAATCATGAATGAGTGAGGTGAATGAATGAATGAGGTGAATGAAGGAATCTCATACCAATCTTGGACAGCATTGAAGGATTCCTCATTGGTAATGTCATACATCAGAATGAAGCCCATGGCCCCACGGTAATAGGCTGTGGTGATGGTCCGGTATCGCTCTTGTCCAGCGGTGTCCTGCATAGGAAAAAGAGTTAGCCTCCTAGAAAGTCTACTTTTGTTCCTAAAAAGTCCTCAGAATAATTAAAAAATAACCCAAGGTATATTTAAGGAGCACCTATTATGTGTCTTGTATTGTACTTGGTGGTTAGAATAAAATGTCTTTTAAAACCTCATAAAAATTGGGGCATCTGGGTGGCACAGTCAGTTAAGCATCTGCCTTCAGCTCAGGTGATGGTCTCAGGGTCCTGGGATTGAGCCCCACATCAGGCTCTCTGCTCAGCTTTTCCTTCTCCTCCTGTTCCTTCCCACCCCCTATGCTCTCACCCTCTCAAATAAATAAAAATCTTCAAAAAATAAATAAAACCTCATAAAATTTATTAAGAAAATAATTGAGGGGCACCTGGTTGGCTCAGTCAGTAGGGCAGACAACTCTTGATCTCAGGGGGTCATGAGTTTGAGCCCCATGTTGAGGGCAGAGTTTACAGGAAGGAAGAAAGGAAGGAAAGAAGGAAGGGAGGGAGGGAAAATAACTGAAATTTCAACAGAAAAAAGGGAAAGAGGAACAAACAATTCAAAGGAGAAGAGAGCAGTGAATAATTATTATATTAAAAGATTTGAACTATTTTTTTTTCTAAGATTTCATTCATTCATTTGATAGAGAGAGGGAGCAGCAAGCAGTGGGAGAGGGAGAAACAGGCTGGTGGAGCAGAGAGCCCAATGCGGGGCTCCATCCCAGGACCCTGGGATCATGTCCTGAGCCAAAGACAGACACTTAACAAATGAGCCACCCAGGTACCCCAGATTTGAACTATTTTAAATTATAATTCCCATTATAGATGAGGATATAGTGAGATGTACAACCTCACACCTTGCTCATGGAAACTTGGTTGAGTCTTTCTGAAAATCAATTTGGAAGTCTCAAGATCATTAAAAATATTTGCACCTTTAAAAAAAAAAAGATTTTATTCATTTATGACAGAAAGAGGGAGTGAGAGAGGGAACACAAGCAGGGGGAGCTGGAGAGGGAGAAGCATGCTCCCCGCTGAGCAAGGAGCCTGACATGGAACTCAATCCTAGGATGCCGGGATCATGACCTGAGACAAAGGCAGATGCCTAATGACTGAGCCATCAAGGCTCCCCAATATTTGCACTCTTGACCCAGAAATTTTCCTCCTCAAAACTTTTGCTACAAAATTAGAAAATCAGACCTATGCACAAAAATATTTGTTGGGACATGCAACAATGCTTGTATATATGATATGGTATCAGTTTTCTAACTATAGATGTAGAAAAGAAAACTGGAAAAAAGCATATCAAAAGACTAATAGTGATTATCTCTGTATGAGAGTCAAGAATTACAGGGATTTTAATTTTTTTCGTGCACTTTTATTTTATCTACAATAAGCACATGTTGCTCTTATACAAGGAGAAATAAATATTTTGCTTAAAAAATAACCAACACAATTCTGTATCTCAAGCAGATCACAGCCCAGTTGGCAAGACAGACATGTAAGCAAGCAAGCAAAAACAAGACCAACAGTGAAGTGTCACTGGTGCACATTGGGATGCTTCACAAACGTCCACACAGCCCTTATGTGAGGGACCAGCCAATCTTCTCTGTTTGATTACAATTTCAGAATGCATGATCCTCGAGCATGTATAAAACATTTCCTCATATATTAGCTTATTTTAATTTTATAAAATCCCAAGGTAGGTATTATTAGCATTTATATTTTATAGCTGAGAATACAAAAATGCAGCCAGGGTATGTGACTTTCCCAAGGTCACAAAGCTGGTGACACAAACTATGCCTTAAATCCAGGACTTCTGATTCCAGGTCCAAAGCACATACCACTAAACCTTAATCAAAGAAGGATGTATGTACAAATATTTCCTAAACACAATCTACAATGATAATAAAAACAAATAAGGAAACAATAATAACTACACCATGTCATTATTTGCACATATGTTGCACCTGTTATCCACATACTCAGAAACACTGTAGGTTACTCCATTTTACTCCAGATGAGGAAATTGAGGCTTAGACAGATCACCACTGTCAGAATTGCAATTCAAAATAAGTCTATCTGGCTTCCCTATGACCCTGCAATTGCACTACTGGGTATTTACCCCAAAGATACAGATGTAGTAAAAGAAGGGCCACCTGTACCCCAGTGTTCATAGCAGCAATGGCCACAGTCGCCAAACTGTGGAAAGAACCAAGATGCCCTTCAACTGACGAAAGAAGATATGGTCCATATATACAATGGAGTATTATGCCTCTATCAGAAAGGATGAAGATCCAACTTTTGTATCAACATGGACGGGACTGGAAGAGATTGTGCTGAGTGAAATAAGTCAAGCAGAGAGAGTCAATTGTCATATGGTTTCACTTATTTGTGGAGCGTAAGGAATAACACAGAGGGCATTGGGAGATGGAGAGGAAAAGTGAGTTGGGGGGAAATTGGAGGGGGAGACGAACCATGAGAGACTGTGGACTCAGAGAAACAAACTGAGGGTTTTGGAGGGGAGAGGGGTGGGGGGATGGGTGAGCCTGGTGGTGGGTATTATCGAGGGCACATATTGCATGGAGCACTGGGTGTGGTGTATAAACAATAAATTCTGGAACACTAAAAAGAAATAAATAAATAAATTTAAAACAACAACAACAAAAAAAAACACAAAATAAGTCTATATGATGCCTACACTCATTACAATTGTGAATTTATACTATGATATGTAATTCATATCCATGAACCATACTTTGTGTGATCTAAAAATGGAACAAGAACTATACCTGCCCTCAAAGAGCCTCAGTAAAAGAGCAGAGGTAGCTAAGACATACACTGATAGACTGATAATAAGAAGTATGTGGCGATATGTCTTGAGTTCCAGATAATCAGTATAAAGAAAACGTGTCACACAAATCAGGTAAGGTAGAAACATGGTGATTTTGAGTAATTATAGAAGATGTCAAAGCAGAGATAGTGTATCTGTTAGGATATACTGAGTTATTCAGTAACAAAGCAATCCCTAAATCTCAGCAGCTTAAACAAGGTTTTATTTTTTACTATTACTACATATCCATTAAGAGCTGGGTGCTCTGCTTTTTGTCTTCCTATTCCAGGATAAAGACCAACAGAGCAGCTACCAGAGGGAAAAAGTGTGAGTCGTGTGCTGGCTCTTAAAACTTCCACTTCTCCCATTTCACTAGCCAAAGCAAGTCACACGCCCACATCCAAGAAAATGCAATCTTTTAATATGCCCAGGAGGAGAATCATAAATGTGGCAGACAGCGTAGCTCCCACTAATGGAATCTGTACCAAGTCCAGAAGCACTGGCCTGAAGATGTGCTTATGTGACAATAGTAGGAGGACAACTAGGACTTCTTTCTAAAGAAGAATTTTCCAAGCAGAGAAGTGAAGGAAAGTATTATGGTAGAAGGAAGAGTTTTTGCCATTGAGTTACTCCAAAAGAACTAAAGGAATGGTAGGAAATGGGAAATGGGTAGGTGCTAAAACTAGAAAGAGCTTTAAAGGTTGTGCTATGGGTTTGGACTTTTTAGGCTCCATGCCCAGCACAGAGCCCAACATGGGGCTCCAACTCATGACCCTACGATCAAGACCTGAGCTGAGATCAAGAGTCAGACACTCAACCAACTGAGCCACTCAGGCACCTCTGGACTTTAACTTTTAAAATGAAAGATTTTGAGGCAGGGAATTAACATAACTAGATCTTAACTTTATTTAGAAAGATCACTCTGGCTGTGATGCAGAGAATGGACTGGAAGAAGAGATGGCAAGCAGGAATGCTAGTTAGAAGATCTTTGCAGCGGTTCCAATGAGTCCCAGTAAGCATTTGAAATAGAGTGGTAGCACTGAGAATGAAGTAGAAACAGATCCAAGAGGTGTTTAAGAGGTGAACTGTAGGGCATGGTGATGGATTAGAGGTGAAGAGATGAGAAATTAAAGATAACAGTTATGTTTTTGGCAGGGCTTATTTTCTCCATGTTCTCAGCAATTCAGCTCTGGCCCAGACTTGCACAACCTTACTCAGAAAAACTGAATCTGTACTTACTACACCCACCATTCTTGGGGAGCATATAAATCTCCATCTCCTTTTGTTGAGCATGGTCCTTACTCTTCCTCTTCCTCTTACTCTTCCTCTCAAGTGGCTTATCAGAGTATTCCTACTAACCACATACAGTACTTCTCCCTAAGAGTTCTGGCAAATATAATTTTCTCCATTTCATAAATGAGTACGCAGATGAATGAATTAATGAATGAGTAAAGAGATGGATGAGTGAGTGAACACGTAACACTGGAAATTTTAGGCACCACTGAGAGAAATCATCAGTTTACCACATCTATGCAGAAGTTGTGTGTGTACCTCTGGAACCTGCCAACAGTATTTGATCCACTCCACCCCCACACACCCTTGCCTCAGCTTCCTGAACTCCTCGGAGTCAACACCACAGATGAGACTCCTTCCACCCATCAGCAGGGCAGGCCTCAAATCTTGTCCTGTAGGGTCTAGAGTTTAGCCAACCATCCCAAGCAGTGATACAGAGGCCCAGGAAGGATTTCTGAGCAGCTGCATGGCTAGCAGGTCTCAACTCTTCTCACTCCATCTGTGTTATAGCATTTCCCTGTGAGAGTTTCTAGTCCCCCACCTCTTGACTAGAGCCTGGCCCTGTGTGCCAGCTATTTGACAGGAGAGTCCTGCCACCCAATTGATGTCCAATTAAGCCCCACATTGGGTGTAGAGATTGAAGAAGAGAAGAGAAGAGAAAAGGAAAGAACAAAGAAAAGAAAAAAGAAAAGAAGCCAAGCCCTGGTATGGAGTAATAAATGAGCTTGGACACAGAACCAGTTTCATCCCCATGCTCCTAGTGCCTAACATAGGGTTGTGCATACAGTAGGGATTCAATCACCACTCGCTAAACACAAAGACCACATAGTTTTGAGACTGAGTGTGGTCTCTGAAGTTAGACTCCTGGGTATGAATCCCTA